AGGAGGGAACAAAGCCTCAGCCCAGTTGGGCTCAGGGCACCAGGGCCCTCTAGATGGAGGGCAGGGTTCACGTCAGCACCTGCAGTGCACTCTTGCCCCGGGTGCCGATAACACTCTGCAGGCTGCCATCTATGGTGGTCCATTTCATAGAGGAAGAAGCAGGCACAGAGAGGCCAAGTGCCTCTCCTCAAGCGACTCAGCCAGCGGATGGCCTGTACTCACCCATGTCATCCTGCCATCTGCAGGCCCTGTTGCATGCCCTTGGAGGTGGGGAGGAGGGAACAAAGCCTCAGCCCAGTTGGGCTCAGGGCACCAGGGCCCTCTAGATGGAGGGCAGGGTTCACGTCAGCACCTGCAGTGCACTCTTGCCCCGGGTGCCGATAACACTCTGCAGGCTGCCATCTATGGTGGTCCATTTCATAGAGGAAGAAGCAGGCACAGAGAGGCCAAGTGCCTCTCCTCAAGCGACTCAGCCAGCGGATGGCCTGTACTCACCCATGTCATCCTGCCATCTGCAGGCCCTGTTGCATGCCCTTGGAGGTGGGGAATGGAGGGAGGAAGGCCAGCACAAGGCAGTGAAGGAGCAGCTACAGGTCCCTGTGTGCTGGGAATGTATGACAGCTCCACAGGATACCAACAAGCTCCAAGCAAGGACCTCACCTGTGAACCGAAGAGTGAACTCCAGCCTAGCAGAGCACAGATGAGGGAAAGGGCGCAGCCAGCCTGGGAGCAGAGCAGGCACTGGAAGTGGTAGCATCTGAGCCAGGCCTTGAAGGCTGGGGAGGGTTTAGACAAAGGAGAGTAGGAGCTTGGGACTCCATTCCAGGCAAGGCATTGCCCAGGCAAGGCCAGCAGGTTGAAAGGCCAGGACAGACATCAGGGCCCTTCTGGTTGCTGCCTGCAGTGGGAACCAGGCCTGGCATGGCAAGTTGGCTTCTGGGGCAGCTCTGCACAGCGAAAGCTGTGGATTCGAGAGAGACCCCAGAGACACGCCCCCCCCCCCCCCCCGCCAAGATGCGGAAACAACGTGGGCTGGGTTTTCACATGCTGGGTGAGTGTCATGAACGAGCAGTGAGTGGTGATTGCTGAAGGAAAGTCTTTCCCATTTTTTCAGACTCTGAACTTTGTCCAGATTCGTGGGATCCCAGAGTAGGAGGTTCTAGTAGGCCACGTTCCAGCTGGCCCCCGCTTTAGCACCTCATCGTATGCTGTTCCCCTCTGTCTTGTGTTCCCTGACTCACTCTCTAAGGCACACCTCCACCCCCTCCACCACCATTTTCCCAGCTTAGCCCTCTGTTTTTCTTTTACCCTTGCTTGTTTTTCCTGACCACCAGGACAGGAATCTGTTCTTGTCACTCACCACCACATCTTCAGTTCACGTGCCAGGTGCTAGGCTCTTGGGAAATATTTGTTGATTGAATGACTGAATCAGACCAAAGTCCCCCACTTCAGAGATAGCCAGACTCAGTCAAGTGTGAGGTCAGTTGCTCAGCCCACAGCTAGGCTGTGACAGAGCTGGAGCTAAAGCGCCGAAGTCAGGCCCCTTCTGCTCCTCCACATTGTTTGGCAAGAACAGACCAAGAGGCCACCTAGGTTAACATCGCACATACACAGATCACATGACAGTCTCCCTTCCTTCTAACTGTGGACTTCACACTTTGGTGACCCTGGGGGGCTTTGGAGTTGGGCAAACCTCCAGGGACTTCATGAATTCAGACATGAATATCTGCTAAGCATCTCCATGGGTCTGCCCTGTGCCAGCCTCCTTGGAGGTTCCACCAAAAAGAGTGTTCTCAGAGAGAGGCCTGTAGGGCTGGGAGTGCATGTAGTGGGGGGCTAGGCATGATGGAGAAGTGACAGCCAAAGGCAGGAGTTAGGTCAGGCACCTGGGAGAGTTCAGGCAGAGGGATGAGGTGTGCAAGGGCCCTGGGGGACAAGGGATCACAGCAGGTGAAAAGGTTCTGCCTAGAGGTTGGTCCAGTGAGGACGAGGGGAGGTAAGAAGGCAGAGGGTGCTGGGGCAGCAACCATGAAGGCACTGTCCTAAGAGATATACGAACAAACCCACTGGAGGATTTTGTGTGGAGCTGACCTACTCTGACTGGTGTTTGGGAGAGATTACTGCTATTATAAGGAGAATGGGTTGGGGCACCTGAAAGGCTGTTTGCTGACCCCTGAACAGCCCCTATAGGATCTGGGCAGGAGCCAATGACAGTGGCTTCAGTGGGGGGTGGCAGTGATAGGCACAATGTCAAGGGTCTGTGACCTCCCTGTGTTTCCTCGTAGGAGACTTTGTGCAGCTGCCCGTGCCCATCATCCAGCAGCTCTACCACTGGGACTGTGGCCTGGCCTGCTCCAAGATGGTGCTGCGGTGAGTGGGCAGGCCTAGGTCCTCCCCATCCATACCATCTGCTCTGGCTGGAAGGAGGAACAGGGAGAGACCTGGGTGGGATTCATCATCCATATGGCTTTTCTTGCTTGGGCCTTACAGGAGGCCCAGCTTCCATCCAGACTTGGTCGCATCTACAAGAGCAGGCAAAAGGTGGACAAGGCCTTCCAGGTGGTGGCTCTGGGGATAGCCAGAGAAGTCCTAGGTGCCTGGGCCTGGTCCACAGAGTGACGCCATTACTGGGACACGGGACCATCCAACCTCAGGCTCCCGCAAGACTGTGTCACTAGGGAGCCAACTGTTGAACTAAGGCTGTGTGAATATCACAGGCACCTTGACCATCAGAGCATAGAGTGCCATTGCCATCTCCTTGTAGGAGACTTCAGGCAACTGCCAGGAACCCCAGAGTAACCTATCCCTTACTTGTCTTATATCCTGGAAATCCAGGCCAGATAGTGTTCAGCAAAAGGGTTCTGTGCCTAAATCTTAGGAAACCACTGATGTGATCCAAGCATCTCATCCTAGAAATGAAGCTAGTGAGACCAGAGAGGTTGGCAACTTACCCAAAGTTACACGACCTTCAGGAGATACAAGAAGCAGAATCCTTGACTCCAGGGCCAACATGGTACCCCAGGCAGCGTCAGGTCATGCCCAAGAAGTAGATGATACAGGATTTCCTGACGAAGGATGGAATCTTCTGGGGAGTGGGAGTTCTTGATAGTGGCTATCTGGCCCCTGGGAGGAGGGTGACCCCAACCAGTTCCCTGTGTAAGCAAGCCAACCTCAGCAGCCCGTCCACCCACAGGTACCTAGGCCCGCTGGACGATGGTGAGTTTGAGAGTGCCCTGCGGGAGCTACGACTCACCAGGAGCATCTGGACCATTGACCTGGCCTATCTGATGCGCCACTTTGGCGTGCGGCACCGCTTCTGCACTCAGACCCTGGGCGTCGACAAGGGCTACAAGAACCAGGTGGGCAGCCAGTCACCAGGCCTTCACCCAGGTCCAGTAATCAAAAGGGGGTATGGTCGGGGCGCCTGGGTGGCTCAGGGGGCTAAAGTCTCTGCCTTCAGCTCAGGTCATGATCCCAGGGTCCTGGGATTGAGCCCCGCATCGGGCTCTCTGCTCAGCGGGGAGCCTGCTTCCCTTCCTCTCTCTGCCTGCCTCTCTGCCTACTTATGATCTCTGTCTGTCAAATAAATAAATAAATAAATAAATAAATAAATAAATAAATAAAAGTGGGGTATGGTCAAGGCCCGGACACCTGAGTGGACACAGAAGTACTCAGAGACCAGGGAACAGCAGCGGAGATGCTATGGGCAGGACTTTGGATCTAGCCAGACTAGGTGACCTTGGGGTCCGGCCTGCTCAAAGCATCTGAGCAGTGAGGTTCCTGCAGCCTGCCTTCAAGAGCACTGGATGGTGTACAGACGAGCATCTCAGGCTGCCTTTCTGCATCCTTCCCTCCAGTCATTCAGTGCCCAGGGCCTTGGAGAATGTCACTCTGACCTTACCCTGTCCCCACTTGCCCATGTTATTTCTTGTCATAGGGACAGATGGTTTCAAGCTGTCTAATTGGTATTCCAGAAGAAAAACTGACATGCCATCTTCCCTATTTTTTTTCTTTTTGAAAAAGAAAACAATAGCCTCACCTTGATACCAGTGCACAACCCACTCCCCCACCCCACCCCACCCCAACCCCTGCCAACTGATGTAGTTAGAGCCAGCCTTGCCTGCTGTAGAGGCACATGTTGGCCCAGGTTCCAAAACTTGGCAGAGCAGGGGCTCTGCTGGCCTTGTTGGCAAGAGGGTTCTCACATGGTGGCCAGGGCCAGTCAACCTAACTTTCCTTTGAATCTTCCAGGCCAGGGAAGGAAGGCTAATGGATCTGGCTTGATCACTGTAGCTGCACAGCAGAGAAAAGAGCCCAAGAACAGGGTCTCTCCTGCCTCCCCCACAGACAGGGGCTCTAGCCCCCTGTAGTCCCCTACACCAAACAAAGTATATTCCCTGGACCTCACCTTGCTAAGCCGAACTATGGAGGAGCATCTGGGTGGGCTTAGCCACCCCGCTTTGCTCATTTACCACAGACTCCTGCTGGTGCCCACAGGAAACACAACCCAGGATGACCAGCCTTGCTGGGGGAGTGGGAGAGCTGACCTGAGCTTGGCTGCCTACCCATCTCCTGAGTGTCGTCCTTGTGCCTCTCTATGGTCTTGTGTGCTTTGGCCAGCCACCCTGCCGGTTCAAGACACATGCAGCATTCTGCCCAGGCATGCCTCACGTGCCATCACGAGCCCCTAGCAGGCTGGGCTCCTCCCCTCTTTCACCATCTTTAACTCCATCACATGCCCTGTACTTCATCCAAATGGGGGTGAGGGTAGCCAGGACAGGTGGCCCCTCCAACCGGCCCTACTCTCTTTAGTCCTTCTACAGGAAGCACTTTGACACAGAGGAGACCCGGGTGAACCAGCTGTTTGCACAAGCCAAGGCCTGCAAGGTGCTTGTGGAAAAATGGTGAGCCTCCCCTCATTCTTCCTTGTGTGCTTGCTCACCCACGTACTTACTGTCAGGCAGAACTGGAGTATCCTACCCAGGTGGCCAAGGGCATGGACTTGCCCTCCAGAGCCTTAACTGTTTCCATCCATAAAATGAGGACAGGTGGTACTACATGACCTACAGTATACAAAACTGTGGCCTTGAATGGATCACAAGCATGGCCTGGAGGGACACGTGAACCAGACAGACTCTAGCCAGCCCTCAGGCTACTCACAGAATGGTAGCTTGAGACAGAACACAGGAACCCTTAATGAAATGGGGACAGCGTAAGGAACATGCTGGCAAAGTGATGGAGAGTGACAGAGGACAGCCCCTTGTGAAGGCTCTCTAGGGAGGCCTGGCCCTCAGATCTCCCCACAGACTGCCGTGACCTTATGCGGGTCTCCCCTCTTACCTATACGTAAGAGCAGAATTTGGGCAGAACCTGGGAGTAACTTTCCCAGATGCTGATGACTTTCTTCTCCAGGCTCAGGCACATCAGCTTAGATCCCTACTGGGCTACCCTAGGCCACTCTTCTCAGGTCTCCCTGTTCTTGAATGACTTCTGTTTTCATTGTTAACATAATGTTACCACACAATAGGTAGTTTGGAAAACAGGGGAAGTCTCCAAGCATCCATCCACTGCATGAGCACATGCTGGGAGGGAAGCCACCAAATGTTCATTTAGTGGCACGTGCCACTTGCTGGCTAGTTGAGTGGGAAGCTGGTGCTGTCCCTGTTCATCCAGTGAAGAAACTGAGGATGGGAAGAATAGTTTGAGCTGCCCACCGTCACCGCCGGCTGCTCGGCCACGCTGTGATCCAAACCCGACACTCCGCACCCAGTTAATTCCATGGAGCACAGTGCTTTTCCTTCCGGCCCAGGCCCCTGCTTTTTCCCTGTAGTTGAAATCCCGCGCTGCTACATACCGTTGGGAACTCAGCCAGGTATTTCATTTCAAAGACCAAATGGAAAAATGGCATGTTTCCCCGGGCTGAGGCAACCGAACCAAACTGCCACATGACTCGGCTGTGGGCTGGAGTTGGGCCAAGCCACGTCGTGCTCATGCCGCCACTCCTGCGGAGACTGCGGAGGACAGAGGCCCCTAGCCTAGGGGACCCTCCCCCCCGACAGCCCCTTGCCCCTTCTGGATTCTTAGTTTGAAGGATTTTTAGGGTACTGCCTTCTGTGGGGCATTGAATAGGGCAGTGGGGCATTGAATAGGGCAGTGCCTACGAGTCTGCCTCTGAGTCATCAGAGCCGGCTCTGTCAAACTGGGAGCTGACCTGCCCCTTCCTGGACAATTCCTTTTGCCTTAGGGCCTTCAAGAAAAAAAAAAAGAAAGAAAAGAAAACCAGTCCTTTCAAAGAAACGTGGTTTTGAAACTGACGAAGCCATACTTGGCTCAGATTTGGGGGATTAAATTGGACCCACAGCTTCCAATGCAAACCGCATGTGATTTAGGGTAACTGTCCAAGGAAGGTGCTCAGCAGGAAAAAAAAGAATTCACCAGCCAGGCTGGGAGGTGAGGTCCCATGTGCTGCTTCAGTGGCCTCTTCCTGCCACCCCTGGAAGGACCTGACCGGGCCGGCTTGTCCTTGGGCACACTCAGAGTCCTCCTACCTGCCGCCCCGCACCCCGGCACTAGTGCCATGCTTAATCCTGGGCTGAGCCCAGGCCACAGGGACAAAGCAGGACGTCTCCCTCCCTGCAAGGAGCTCAGGAAGTGGGGAAGATGAGCCCTGCCCCCAAGCTCTGTGATCCAAGCAGGGGTCCACTTGAGAGGTGGGGAACGGGGCCCAGCGACCCTGGCTGACCCTTCTCCTGCCCACAGCACAGTGAGTGTGCAGGACATCCAGGAGCACTTGGCACAGGGCCATGTGGCCATCGTGTTGGTGAACTCTGGGGTACTGCACTGCGACCTCTGCTCCAGTCCGGTCAAGTACTGCTGCTTCGCCCCCAGTGGCCACCGCTGCTGCTGCCGGAGCCCCGACTACCAGGGCCACTTCATCGTGCTGCGTGGCTACAACCGGGCCACTGGCTGCATCTTCTACAACAATCCAGCCTATGCCGACCGTGAGTGCTGGGTGGGCAGGGACAGCGGAGGGGGGTGGGGGGGTGGTGGCAGGCTGCATTCACTATCCCATCCCGTGACTCCTCTGCACTCCCTCACTGCCTTCCCCCCAAAGCCTCTGCTCCTCCTGGGCTCCTGTAATCTATGCTGCTGCTCTGGCCATGCACAGACCAACCACAGACCTGAGGCCGAGCCGGCCTCCACACCCTGGTCATTGCCACACCAGCTCAGGCCATCTGTCCTTCCCACACCACTAGCCCTGCACCACTGCCCAGGGCCCACCTCAGTCTTATTTTGCGGTTTCCTCCCCCCGCCCCCAATCTCCCTCCTTCAACCTTGCCAGGACAGCCAGCAAGCATACTCATCAGAAAGGGAAGTCTGCCCAGTCCCAGCTCCAGCTCCAGAGGCAGCAAAGGCTCCCCACTGCCCTGACTCTAGCAGACTTACCCCATGTGTCCTCAAGCTGTTTGTTCCCCTCTGGGTCTTACCTTTTTCATCTGCTAAACTGGGGGAGGGTCAGAGAATGAGTTCATGAAGGCTAAAATAGGCAAGGAAGTCTTCCTGTAGGTGGAAAATGAGTGGCAAAGGGTGGCCAAGCAGGTGGGACACAGTCAGTCCTCCCTCAGCTGCCCTGGGTGTCACTGAGGCAGGTATGACCTCCCCCCTCAACCTCTGACCCCACTCTGCCCTTCCTGTCCCCAGCAGGAATGTGCAGCACCAGCATCAGTAACTTCGAGGAAGCCAGAACCAGTTATGGCACAGATGAGGATATCCTCTTTGTCTACTTGGACAGCTGACAGTGGGAGGCTGGTGTGCCCAGGTCCTCACACCCTGCCCCACCCTAGCCGGGCCAACTCAGGAGGCCTTGGCCCAGGCCCCAAGCTGCTGGGGCTTGGATGCAGAGCTGCAGCCTCGGCCCATGTGACAAAGCCCCAGAGAGTTCTTGGAGCCCGAGGCTTGCATGCTTTGTCTGCCAGCATTGTGCCTGTCGTCATGCCACTTACCCTGTGCACCTGCTGGTTGCTGGAGGCATCTCCAGAGCATCTGAGTAGAGCCTCCCCCAGGATCCCAAACCTGACTTGAACAATGCCCAGGGGACTTCCAGCCCTGTGGGTGCCCTTCTTGCCCGCAAACCAGACCCAGGGCAGGGGAGAACCTGAGCTCGTCTTGCCACAGACCTGGGGCTTGAGCCCTGAAGATGCCACTTGTCAGGATGGTGTCCACGTATTTGGAGACCATGTAGCCAACCCGCCTATCCCCCAGAAGTACTATGGACCTCCCTGTGCCCTTTGGTGGATGCCGCCACTCCCTCCCGCCTCCCAGTGGACCCGCATTCCTGTGGCTGGTGGTGAGGCCTCTGGGCTTCTGGGCTCTGGAGAGGGCTGGGCCTCAGGCTGAAAGGACCCTGAACCCCCCACCCCTCGGCCTCCAGGTACTATAGCACTATAGATTGGAGGGCCATCTGGGTCGTAAACGGGACCCCGGCTCTTGCTAGCTGGCAGTGCAGAGCATACTCCAAGAATGCCTGACCCAGAGGGCCAGGTGCAGCTGCCTGGGTCCCAAAGGACTCCCCCCAACCTGTGAGCCCTCCTGACACTAGCCTAAGCCCTGACAGTGGGGCCCATTCTCTGGGTGTGGGGAGCCCCAAGCCTCATAGGCCTGGGTGCCGGGGTATGCTGGGGCCTGCACTCCTGAGGCAATGGTGGGAGACCATCCATGGCCTCCCACCCATCCTGATATTCACACCGGGACCTTTTGCACCGAATGTTGGGTCTCTTCTGTCCTCACAGAGAAGGGTGGTACCTGCCCAGGGTCACACAGCACAGCACGAAACATAGACTAGAGCTGTTTCCTTCTTTTTCTTTCTTTCTTTTTTTTTTTCTTTCTTTCTTGTAGGGGTAGGGGGTGCTTTGGTTTTTTTTGAGATTTAAGTTTTTCACTTGTGGGGAGTGAGAGTCCCTCTCAAGTAAGACAATAATAGCAAGATTGCAGGTACTTTGGAGCCGCTGACACCTCTCTGCACAGAGCAGATCAGCCAGCCCAAGTTGTCTTTCAAAGAGAAAGGGACTCAACGGCTGGTGGGCTGAGTGCCAGGGCCCCCCAGCTTACAGACAAAATCTGGCCATCAGTCTAGGGAGAGTTTGCCCAGGACTATGGTGGGGTTGGGTCTCGAACCTAGGTCTACACCAGAAAACTAAGGGAACTGGCTCATTCCCAAAGGGGCCAAGAACACCCACCCCCTCGTGAGCTGTTCCTGGCAAAGGAGCAGGGCTGCGCCAGCAGCCACACTGCCCCTGTCCCCCGGTGTCTTGGTCCTCTGTTGCCCAAGGCATGACATGGTGGCAGGTGCTACGCCTCTGGCCTGCAAACCCTGCTCATCATCTGTTCCCACCAGCTGGCTGATGCCTCCCCACCATGGCTTCTCTGAGGCGCGGAGGTGGGCTCTGCGCACAAGGGCTGTCGGACCACTCAGCTGTATTGCTCCTCAACACCAGATCCAGCCTTTGGCCCCAGGGGAGGTGCTGTTAGCTGCTTAGCCAACAGGTTAGCCCCCCTGGTTTCAGAGACGAGCAGTGTCTTCAGACTGGCCTTCTCTCTTTTGCCTTAATGTCGGTGGCCCAGGATCCCAGGGAGCTCTGGTTGCATGCCCAGGAATACCATGTGTGGCAGCCATGGGATTTGGGCCTCCTCAGGAAGGATCTGGCTAAAATTGTGGTGAGAATAGACGCATCAAGGAAAAAGCAATGAGGAAGTGAAGCTTCGGATGATGGGTGGGGCTGTCACTGGGAGCAGCTGGCCCAGAGAGCAGTCACAGCACCTCAGTCCTTCACATGAGACGTGTGGAAAACGCTCAGTTCCTGGGCAGGCCACAAGTTAGAGGTCACCTGTCTAGAAGATTAACAAGAAAGCTACCTGTGCCTCAGATGGTGCCATCTGCCCGGGAGGGTCACGGGTGGGACGCAAAGGCGTTCTCGCACACGTCACGGAAACAAGGCTGGAGAATCCAGATTTCAGGAACCAGTGCCCATAACACGTGGCTCCCATGACCCCAGTCCACATGCTGGGGGCCCAGCGAAACCACACTGGACAGTTGGTTTTGTTCACTCCAGCCACACAGGGACAAAAGGGATCTTTTGCATTGCAGAGATTTTCTATATATATATATATATATATATATATTTTTTTTTTTGTTTGTTTGTTTGTTTGTTTGTAATGAGCCATTCTCAATAAACATTCTCACTGCAAAATCATGGCAGCACTCTGGCCCACCTTTGTGAATTCTCATTTCCCTCCCAAATTCTCAGCTTCAGCACGTGCCACTCCAGGTCCTCGGCCTGCCAGACCAGGTTTTAGCCGGGACTAGAATCCTGTTTACTGCTTTTCAGTTCTGCCTCCCTCATGCTTGTACAGGGCTGAGGTAGGCAGTGCTAGAGATGGAAGAGCCTCAGAAATGAGCTTGATGGCTTGAAGAGGGCATGGAGGGCACACAGCCTTGGGCAGAAGGAGGGGCTGGGGGGGGCAGAATCGAGTGAGGGGGCAGTGGGGGCCCACAGGAGGCAATAGAGTGGGGAATCCTGCGGCCAGAACTCCAATCCTCCCTGTGCCTCCACCCCCAAACAGCAGCTCCCCTTATTTGCTAGCTATTGGGCTCGTCTAGTGTTATATTTGATACAAATTCTACTCCTGAAAAAGGAAGTGTTTGGAAATCCTGCCTTATCCGGCAGTCTCAGACGTGCCCCAGGTCCCACAGGGAGCTTACAGAGCCAGAGCTGGCTTCTTGGGTAGGGTCCCAGTCTCTGGCCTCTGTTCTCATTAACTTGACTGCTGCTCTGCCCCTCCCCAAGCCCCACACTGTAGGGATATTTTTGGAGTTGCGACTGAGATCTTAGACCCCTCTCCAAGCTGGCGAGCAGCCCTACAGACATGCCTTCAATCCGGGCATTGGCCAACTGAGGTGGGGGCGCCCTGCTAGAGTGCGCCAGGCAGCCTAGCAGGTGTTCTAGCTACATGCCTAACCAACAATGCTTGCCCCTCTCTGCACTTTAGCGGAAGCCTTCTGCCCCTCCTAGGGGAAGAGGCGCCCATTCTGAATGGGCATACCGTCGTTGGGACAGACATGGGAAAGGTTGGTTTGGGGCCTCTCAGCGGCCCCGAATTATATATTGAATACAATTATGGGAGGCAAAATGGCGATGCGGGACCTGTTGAAATAGGAGGGCCAAATGTGGGTGAGGTCTGGAGTACTGGGCGGAGTCAGCTGCCCAGCACATGCCGGGTGAGGATAGCAGAGGCTGAGGATTTCTGGGAGGGGCCCCACTGGGAGCCAAGTGGCCAGGGCAGAAGGGAGAGCTGGGTGCAGCCGGACAGATGCAGAAAGAGGGAGAAAACAAGCACCCAGTAGAAGCCACAGCCTTTAATAAGCAAGTCTCAGAAGTGCCATCCTATCATTTCTATAATACTCTATTTAGATGTTTAGACTGCATCTAAAATACATTGGGGATTCTACACAGGATACATCAGGAGGCAAGGACCACTGGAAGTCTGGTGGCTACGTTTTTTAAATCTCAAAATTTTTTGAAATCTCAGAACAGAGCTGGGAAACGCCCCTGGAGACATCTCGTCTAGCACATCCCGAGGCGTGCCATTCCGAACCGTGAGAAGCCCCGTATCATGGGGTGCCCTGGTCAGGTCAGTTGGGCAAACATTGCATGCTACAGTCCCCTCTGGGGGATTTAAGATGTGCAGAAAGGCTCTGTAATCCTACAGCAAGGGGACCCCCTTCGTTTAGGGTTTCCCCAAATCCCTTAGCCATAGCTGTTCTTGTGTAACACTGTTATTCTGTGAAATATGCTGACACTGGGGTAACACTGATCTAGTCCAAGGTGGAGAGTGCAGCACAGAGAGGGGGGCAACTGGCCCAAAGTTATCACTCAATGAGCTACAGACAGAGCTAAACCCCAGCCCACCATTGCTGCTTTCCCAACCCTCAAACCCAGACTATAGTCAGAAGTAAACTTGGTGGCCCTATAGGCCCAGCCCATGCCAGAAGAGCCAGGAAGTGGACTCTGAGTTCTGGAGCTAGAGATGGGCTGCCACAGGCCTCTGGGGTTCTCCTTCCCAGGTAGAAAGCCTGGCATGTGGCCCCAATATTCTGGAAGAGCACAGATCCTGCACTCCTTGCTGACTTGCCTCAAGCTACAATATCCAAGAGCGCACATCATGGATTTGCCCTACCCTTCAGCATCAGAACAGAATTGAGAAAAACAGGAAGATACGGGTCCCAGGGGCCAAGGGATGGGACCAGCATGGACTTAAGTATTCATGGGAAAACCTCAGTGCCAGGAAATGGAGGCTAAGACTCCCACGGGCCCAGAGTAGTGGTCTCTCCAGTGACTTCTCCATCCTCCCCATCCCCCGCCCCCTCTTATCTCCCTCCTCTGTGTCTCTCTCTGGCTGCCTGCCCCGACATGCACCTGGACCACTGCTTCCTGAGGATCTGCCCCCAGCCCCTGGGTTTCCCCCAGCCCCAGGGGATCTGGTGAGTCAGTCTCCCCAAGCTATTCGGAGTCCCTTGATTTACAAGGGTTTGATGTCCACAGCTCACAACAGACGCTCTATACCTCTCACCTGCCAAAGCCCTTTCTTTCCTCAAGCTCTGGTCAGTGTCACCCCTTTTAAAGGAGTACCTTTTTCTGCACTCCTCAGCCACGTGGTCCTCTCTACCTGTCTCCACTACTGTAGCCCCTGGCCCTTGACACCTATTAGATGCTTGATAAGGTATGTCAATGACTGGTCAAGGGCAGATCTTTAATGATGCCTGTTTTACTGGCTTTCTTGTACTTTTCAGAATCAGAGGTCACCATTCAGGGGAAGGTTGCATTTGAACCTATGATGTTATGCAGAATTCAGCAGACACTCTCTCTTATAAGGATGAGTGGCAGGATGAACCCCCACCAACTAGGGGCTATATTTCTGCATGTCTCATGAGCAGAGGCACTATTCTGAACCAACTTTTTAGGAATGTTTGTAAAACAAGTAGTCTGGGAAGATGTGAAGTGTCTCCCTTCAGAGCCACAGACAGGCAGATATATTGCCCATTATAAAAGATTTGGGTTCTTTCAACCCAGGGTTCCTCTCCTACGACACAGCCCATTGCGTCCCTTGCTCTCTTGGGAACTGGGACTTGGAGAATCTGCAAGAAAATGAGGTACTCTGACCACTGCTCCTGCTGTAATAAACTGTCCTTTGCTCTGATCCAGGAATGTTGTCTTCGACTAGCACCCATGAAACTGTGACAGGCCAACTTGAAAATAAGGCCCTTCATGGATCTTGACGGTCCTGGCACCAAGGGGATGCTCACAGAGACATGGTTTTCTGGAATATGAATGAGGGCCTCACAAGCCAATTAATGGGAGGTCCATGAGATGCAGCCGCAAACCTTATTCCCCAACTTGCATGGCAATCAAATGATAAATAGTCCTTCACTCTATTGCCTGTTAGTGAAGAAGAATTGGGGAGGGGGCTGCAGACTTAGTCCCTGCAAGTAGGTCCCAGGACAGTTAGCTGGATGGTGCACTAGTTCTTGCTAACTTCCCAGGGACAGGAGGCATCCTGTACCATCTTGTGGTCAGTTTCATGTCTGCCCCATTGTAAGAACTAGTAGTAAGTCTGGTCCTGGGTAGGCAGATGGTTGTGACCACTTTTAAACAAATAGTTACAGAGATGTAGACCTACATGGAGCCTGAAGGGCAGGAGATTCAAAACAGCTGTGGGAGGAAAGCAGGTGGATCATTGAAACCTTGGCCAGTTTCCTTGAGCAATGAGGGATTGGAGCGTGTAGTATTTGCCAAGGAGGAATCGCACAGTTGGCCCTCTGCCGGCTCAACGTTTCTTGCCTTCTCTTATGCCAGCCTTCACTCCACTAGGAGACAAATGTAAGAGGTCCAGAGGTTTTTTTTGCAGTGGGTTCAGGCTGCTGAAAAGAGCTTTGGTCCTCTTAGATTCCCACGAGACAAATTCCCATAGAAAGTCATAGAAGAAGTACCGACCAGTATTTGGGTTCTAACCTCCAAGTTGGTTTGCAGTGCTGACGAAGGTAGCTAATATTGAGAAATGGGACCAACACAGGAAAGTCTCCTCCAGAGTCAACTTAAGAAAAGGTCTCGGAGCCTACCTTCTTCACACCTTCCTGGTCCGCACTCTCTCATACAGTGATTTGGGGCTTCAGACTTGATGATTCCTGGGCATGTTGCTTCTTTCTTTGTCCTAAGAGCAACTCCAGGCCAGCCTGGTTGCCACATGTTCTAAAGTGACAGCCCGGGGGCACCTGGGTGGCTCAGTCCATTAAGCGTTCAACTCTTGATTTTGGCTCAGGTCATGCTCTCAGGGTTGTGAGATTTGGGCTCCCCGCTGGGCATAGACTACTTAAGATTCTCTCTCTCTCTGTCTCTCTCCCCCTCTCCCTGTGCTCCTCCCTCTGCTCACATGTTCTCACTCATTCTCTCCCTCAAATAAATAAATAAATCTTAATAAATAAATAAATAAATAAAGTGACAGCCCAGCTGAAAGGAGACCTAGGGCTTCAAACTTGAATTTGGTTCAGGCACTTGGATTCTCTTGTTGGAGTGACATGGGGGTAGGTCATAAGAACAATGAGCACTTGAGTGAGTACATTGCTTGCTGAGACCCCCTATGGTGGCCCGAGTGGGAGGAAGTTTGGAAAATAACAGGTCTTCGTGCATTTTATCAAAATGCCCTTGTTCCTCTTGCCCCTGGCCCTTCCAAACAAAGGCTAGGGGTTTAAGAAAGGGGTAACAAGGGCTGGGGGTTGCGGGGGAGGGGAGGGGATGTTTCAGCTATTGGAATTCACAATGACTTTGGAGGAAGAAGAGCAACTTTGACAGCTAGATAGGGAAAAGCTCAGATTCTAGGAGCTAGGCAGGGAGGAGCACTAATCATTAAAGATCTTTGTCTTTCATAATTGCTTCTAGAGGCTTCATTATGAAAAATGCTCCAGTGTGGCCCACCCAGACTTTTGTAAGCATGTTAAATAGAACTGATTGCAGGCATTTGCTTTCTTCCTAACCAGATGGCTTTGACCACAGCTTGATCACCATTCCCATTAACCTTACCAGAAGGCTGTT